AGGCGGCGGAACGGAACCGAAGTCGGGACCAGCTCGTCCGACCCGAGCGTGGGCGCCCCGCGGGAGCTCCTCCCGCAGGTGGCGCAGCAACGCCCGCCGCTCCTCCTCTCTGGGCGCCCGGAATGGGTACAGTGGAGGCACGACCACAAGAAACCTTCCACAAGAAACCCACAAGAAACCCAACCCTTCCAGGACGTCCATTGATTTTTGGTGTGGAAGCGTCACGCCTTCCACAGCAAAACCATCGGAGCCCAATAAACCCAGAACACCCTGGAAACAAGCAACGTGTTTCTTGGCATGGGTCCCCAATGTACGGAAAACATGGGTCCGATGTCCAACCACGAATGCTGTTCAAAACTGATGGCGGTCGCTGTTGAACAGCCAGCCGTCTGTTTTAAATGGACAACAGCCGCGGGGCCACCGACAGCGAAGCCTGAACAAAATTAGCAAGAGCTGCTGTCGCTAGACCCAACGCTGCTGCACGGTTCGCAACGAGCTGATAACACGGCCCTGTGGGGCCTCTAAAGCAATTGGCTGCGAAGGTGGGGCAACGCTGCTGCAATCTCGCCCATCCCGGCTGCGCTAAATTTTGCATGCAACTATCTTGCCACAAACTGAATACACAACGAACTTCACATGATGCTCAACGAGTGGGTGACCATACGAGTTTCGCCCCTCTAGAGCGTTGTCCCCTGGCTGTCAGATCAGAACTCGGATCTCCGGCGGCCGTTCGGGACTATCCAGGCACCTCTTGAAGGCTCTCGGCGAAGCGCAGCTGTCGACGCGCATCCCGAGGCAGGACAACACATACAGGAACCCACAGAAAAGTTCGGAACACTCGCGCGTACCCCTTTCGGCCACGGCATGTGTTGCGCTTCAACACGAGCGGCGTGTCAGGGCAGCTAAAGTTAGGTCGGGTATGACCGCTTACAGGCGGATTTTCGACGAACTATAAAAACATGACCAAACACATTAAAAAACGAGTAAAGATAGGACACATAGTCCCCAGACTATCTTTTACTATTTTTGAATGTTCCTCCTGTCGAGGAACGTGCCCGACTTGAAGATAAGGCTGTCGGTCTTGGTGGCCGTGCTTCGAGGAACAGCGAAAACAGCATAAGCACAAACCCTTGGAGGTCCGCCCGCGTGGATGCCCTGGATCGGCGCTGGAGCCGGGGGCGGCGACGGAGGCGCCGCCGGGGGGGCTCCAGCGCAGACCCAAGGAATCCGCGCGCGGGGCGTCGAAGCTTTTTATCAGCATGTGCTTTCTCTTATGAAGGGAAACTGGGACACACAAATAAATACACACAAATAAAAAGATTCCCCATATTTTCCTATATTTTCTGGGTTTTTGTCTTCCCCACCACTTCCCATATTTTCCCATATTTTCTGGGAAATCGACGATTAATTGTGTCTGTGTGTTTTTTTTCCTCCTGATCTTATCCGCTCAGTGCCGTACCGCTACTCCCTAGGGACCTCTCCCCGGGTGCGCTCCGGAAGCTCGAAGCGAAGCGGCCGGTGGCGAGGAGGGCCTCCCGTGAGGCCCCCAGGAAGAAAAACAGGCGGAGGGCAGCGGCATGGGTACCTTCTGCTCCTCTGATAATTTGAACGGGGACCGAACGGCCTGGCCTTCCTTGTAGGCCCACCACAAATTTTCAGGACCCCAACGTGTTCTAAGAACGCGAGCAAAGTTCTCAGAACATAAACCCGATTCGTTAGAACGAGGCAGTCTCAGCCAGACATGTTTTAAGAACATCGCACCACATGAAAACCCCAATCAGTGGATGGTTTTCGCCGACGAGAACGACCGGGAACCCGGGAACCCGGGAACCCGGGAACCCAGAACCCACCAAAATCGGCCTGGAACCAATCACCTGAACCCGGAACCGGAACCCGGGAACCCAGCTTCCTGAAGGCCCTGCGTAGTTAGTAACAGTTAGCGGAACTTCTAATTGTTATTAACGGAGTTATAACTAGTTAGGTTTGGCCAGTTTGAAGCTGTTTTTTTTTTTTTTTAAATGTTTATGTTATGTTTTTGCATCTCATGTAGTTGGAAATTGGGGCATCATGATTGGGCGCTTCGTCGATTTGGATCTGCTCAGGGGCCTTCAGATGTTTTTATCGTCCTGGGGCAAACGCGACGGTCCGCAGCGCATCATGTTAGCAACATCGCGATTTGTATTCTACTGGCCAAATGCACGTGATGTCGTTCTCTATTTTCCTGTAAATCACAGGAGCTTTCAGCGAGGTCAGAGGCATCAGAACAGGGTCTGTATCATCTAAAAAGATGTGTCTGGAAAAACCTTCAGCGGCGTTCACATGCTTAGTTGCAAGCTGCTGGACAAGCACCTGCGACTCGCCATCGTCGCATTTCACGTGAAACCACACTTGCATTGCTGCATGCATCCCGCCCGACCCCAGAAGTACGATATCACCGCGCTTGATGCGGCCGAAATCTGTCATGGCTTCGATGCTGGAGACGGCTGTCTGCGTCCCAGGGCACATGCGTTTCAACGCATTCAGCAGCTTCTGTGTTGCTTTCGTTGGGTCGACTAAGCCAGGTGAAACACGCATGGTCTTTAAATCGTGCGCGTGCTGCGCAGTGAGTTGGACCATGAGAGCCTTCTCTGGCCCCTTCTTGCACATGTGGTCTTTGGCGAAACGTTTTACGTTTTTGTGCTTGCGTTCCTGGACAAAGCAACTGAGCGACCCATGTTTTTCAAACATTTCTGGCAAATGTGTTGCCATATGGTGCTTATACACCCAATAGCTTTCACCATATGCGTCCTGATGGCACCGAAGATGTTTCACTATCGCTGACTCTATCTGCGCGGTCGTGACTGGAAGCCGCCGCGCCGCCGTGATGATTATGTCAACGGCATCTTGCAATGCCAGCATACTTGCGATCTGGGGGGCCACTTGATCCGATGAAGGATGCATGGCAATTACTTGCCGAATATACCTGCACAAAACAGGCAACGCAGAGATCTCTTCTGAGGCACTTGCTTGGAGCTCACCAGTCTCCCATACAGTTGCGGCTGAGTGGTGTTTACTCGGCCACGTCCACTTCATGAAATACTCATGCAACTCCATTGCATCACACAAACACTTGAACTGCGCATGCCCTAAAAGTGCTTTTACTTCTCTGTCGAATATACCAGACACAAAATAAATATGCATCCAGTCAAAGCAAATGAATGACGCAGGGAGATATCGCAAACCTGGGTCCAGCGCTATGTGTTCGGGGTGGAAGTTCCATCCTTTGTGCTGTGTGATGGTCGTGTACTGCCCCTCTGAAAACTCCCCCCGCTGATATTTATCCCAATCGGGCCGAAGTCGTTCCAGGATCGCGATGATTGTCGCGTCATCGTTTCTGCGTATCTTTGACGCATCCAAGCACGCGTCTGTCACAAAGAAACCAGATACATCATATGTCAAATAATCAAACTTTCTATTCAAGACGTTGCGACATAACGCACAGGGTTTGGAACCAGCGTGCCCTTTGTTCATGTGTAGTTCCCGCAATGCCTCTTCGTCCCCTATGACGCACGACAGCTTCGCGACGATCGTCGCGTGCGACGTTGCGTCGCCGTTCTCTGACACGTCTAATGTAACACCGCTCGTCTCAAAATTGAAACCACCAGCAGAATTAAAAAAAACTTCTTTGAGGGTCATCTTGATGCACTGCCCGATGCCACCTGGGATGCTTTTTATTTTTGCGCACCGCGCAGTGCTAAGCGTGAACCACGCATCTTCGTTACCCAAGGACTCGTCGAACTCAGCGAACGACCAGTAAACAGCATCAACCCCCCGATAATCTTTCCCCTTCGCCAGGGGGTCTCGCGGTGAAATACCATCGAAATATAAAATGATGTGCCACGGCGACGCCAAGCTGCATGGGTGCTCCTGAAGTGAGCGGCGAAACATCTCCCTGACTGGAGCGCTAGCCTTGCAGCAGGAATACAAAAATGGCCCAGGACAGCACACCCAGTTCTCGAAAGTTCTACCACTGACTAAAGGCGTGTCTATGCAACGCAAGACGTTCCCATATGCGTTCGACTCTTTGGCAATGATGTTTTCGTTTGCCCTGTATTGTGAGCTCCGTGAAATATTGTCGGGCAACCCATGGTCTCGCACATATTTTAGGACACCCGACAGAGCACGCTGTGACAGGTATGAGCCCCTGTGGAGCTCCACCAGCGCCTCATCCGCCTTGCGTTTCCTGGCGGCGGACGCGGCCATGGTTTCAGCCCAAATGGCTACAGACTCGATAACGATGCCAATGCGCATCATAGGATGCATGCGTAGCGTTATGGTAGGGGCACGCTGCATGATGCATCTGAATGCAGCGAGGCGATAGATCACAACAGAAGTGCACGTTGCATAACGATGCATATGGCATGGTACGACGTCGCATCAGGAGGACATGTAGGTGCATAGTGATGCATACGAAGTGGCACGGTAGCTCGCGAGAGAAGGGCGTGTTGCATATTGATGCATGCGACTTGCGATGAAAAGATCGCAACAGACTTGTGATTTAGACATCATGGTGCAACGTCATACAAGCACGAGGGAGTTCGTCGATGTGGCGCCGCCCACCGCCGCGCTGCAGCTGCGATGCGAGCTCCCAGCCCTGCTGGTCCTCAACAACCCCCTGGTCCTCCCCCTCCCCGCGTCGAGCACCTAACACTTGGCGTCGATCCACGCCAGCGCCGCGCTCCAAGCCTCAATGCGATTCATCGTCGCATTGCGGTCGAAGCGGACGCGGCGATCTGCCCTCCCCACAACGGCCCTGAACACCTTCTGTGAAGGCTTGTAGATCACGTAGCCGCACCTGTACGGCGCGTTGCACTCGCACGTCGGCGGCTTGGGCAGCACGGCGGGCTTTGGCACGGCAGCCGCGGGTCGCCGCATGGCAGGGGGCCGCGCCTTCTTCATTGGCACAGCCCCCTCGGCGTCTTCGACGCCTGCCCCGCCCTCGGCGTCACCGACGCCTTCGCCAGCCGCGGAGGGGCGCTTCCTCGCCTTGGCGGTCTTGGCCTTCTTGGCGAGGAGCGCCCTGAGCTTCTCCTCCTCGTCGGTCAGGTCTGGCTCGGGCTCATCAT